CTTCTCATTAAACAAAGAATTATTCTTTTCAGCTGGTCACTGCCATAGAAAATTATATATGAGTTATTCACCCTAATGTGCTTAGCCTCTGTTCGGCAGAAAATACTTGGATGGCATTCAGCACTTGAGTTTTATCACTTTTAGGCGGAATTATGTGTTTTCATGCAACTGAACCAAGAGTAATTCAAAACAGTTTAAACTTACAGCAATTGGTCTGAACTAGTCTATTGAGTTGAACTACAAGGACAAGCTATTGATTGTTATTTGGTATTAATTCTTTACATTCAATGATTAATCAAATCATGAAAATATAAAACTATCATTAAAATAATTGGAAAACAATTAAACCCAAAGGAAAAAACAAAAATCTTCTTGCATCAATTTATGCTCCAAAAGATATTCTCAATTACTTTCATCATATACCTACCAAGGGAAAAGAAGAAGAAAAAAATAAAGAGAACTGTAGGGGAATTGCTTAAAAAGATAATGTACATGCATGTCAAGTTCATAAGTCCAATCATCATAAAGTCACTTCATAGGTCCGCCAAATAACAGAAGACAAAAGAAAATAAAATTATCCTTAAAATCATTGGAAAACAATCAAACCCAAAAGAACAAATCAACTAAAAACATTTAGAACAAAAAATCTTCTTGCATCAATTGATGCTCCAGAAAAAAAATGCTAACTTACTTTCAATATATATCCATTGGGAAAAGAACAAGAAGAAAAAAATAAAGAAAACTGTAGGAGTATCATTTAAAAAGAGAACGCACGTGCATTCAAGTTCATTACTCTGATCATCCAAAAGTCACTTCATAGGTCTGCCAACAAAGAGAAGACATAAAAGCCACTGAAACCAACAACAACCCTTTTTGACCAAAAAGTTGTGGGCTGTGAACGCAAATCTGAATGGTAGGAGATGAAGATAAAAAAGGACTTCAGGGTTTTGATCTAGACCAAGAGAATATTAAGTTGAAAGTCAATGTGAATGTAGGCAAGCCCAACTATGTGCTACATGTTTTGGATATCAACAAAGACCTTAGGCACATGCGCAACTCGAGTCGATATGAATGGTTATGATTTAATTAAGAATAGATGACTCTAGACCCTTGGATATTTGTTATTGGGTCATCCTCTCAATTCTATGGAGGATTTAGGAGACCTCATTGATACTTTGGTTGACATGTAATTTTTTGTACATGGGTTGGCACCTCCTTAGTGTTGATATTGAATAATACACATTACACTTTGTATTTCAAAAAACAAATGTGCAACTCGAATATTGAACATTTCCAACAAAATTTCAAATGACAGTCCAGTATCAAATAAAATAAAGGGGCAAGATATCCATGATAGACGTGCACATTTCAAAAGAAAATCTCAATTTGCTAAAGAAAGGCTAATAGCATACTAAATACTACTTATCTCTGGCATTTCACCCACTAATACTTGAATGCCCACGGGTTAGCACATACATTAAGTTCCCATGGTATTCAATTTTTTTTTTTTTTAGATAAAGGTATTCATATTTTTCCCAGATGCCCAGGGGGGGGGGCTTTTTACAAGACCCAGAATTTACAAGTCAGTAAGAATATCTACAATAGATGCAAAATCCTCCATACTATCTAGATTGTGACGTAAATAGCCCACATAACCAAAGAGCAACACCTTTTTTTTTTTACCTCTTT